GAGCATTTGAAAGATTTTAAGCAGAGAAAATATAGGGTTGTTGACAGGATCCAGCTTGTGCTTTGAAAAGGGCAATGTGGCTGTATTGTGGAGTCTGGATTAGGTCATCTCAAGAGTAGGTCATGGGACATCAGCTGGAACAGCCAGGCAAGGGGTGACAGGGGTGACGGCTTGAACTCAGATGGTGGCAGGAAAGATGAAAAGAGTAGAAAGACTGGAGAAATATTCCAGAAGCAGAAGCAATAGCACTGAGGACAGACTACTCATGGGAAGTGAAAAAATAAGGTGTCTAGATGGCCACCCAAATCTTGGCTGGGGCATATGATGGCTGGGCCAAGTGCCCAACTAGGGAGGTCTTCATAACCTAGGAATTGGGTCTGAGCACTTCTAAGATGACAATGGCTTTAAATCAAATACAAGATTTTTATCCCCAAATAACTGATATATTTCTCAACCTTCCAAACATTTTTATAAATCAATGTATCTTTTAATTCTGCTCAATTTACTAAAGACCAAACCTTTGCCACTATCATTTTCTCATGCTCTTCATTTACATCAGAACAGTCAAAAAATATTGGCAATAATCTTCTATTTTCACTTAAAGTGTTTCACAAAAAAAAATTATTTCTATAGTAAGCTACATCCCAAAGAGGCTTTTCAGGAAAGGCTGTCAAAAATATATTATGCCACTCACTTGCAGTTATGTATGATAAGAACAACAAATGGCTTTTTAGAGGTGTAACTTCATAGCTATCTTTTCCTTAAAGAAAAATAAGATCTTCCTTAAGTAGGATAAAACACTTTTTAAAAAATAATTTAACCAATGATAATTCTCTAGAGTAAATAATTTTACAACAGTTCTTTAGGAATCTCAAATAAAATATAACAGCTGATACCAAAAAGATTCTAAAAATTAAAAACTAATAAATTCCCTATTTAACTGTTCAAGAAAAATACCATTTGTTGAGTACTTATCAAAAGCCAAATAAATCATAAACATTTTCTCATTTAATCCTAAATTTTTATGAAGAGATTGTAAAAATAAAGGAAAACCTCATTCAAAATGGAGTCAGGAGCCATGAAGATAGAGCTCTCATGCACACACCACTCAACAGGAAGAAGCTTACTTTACATACCATACAGGAAGAAGGAAGATTTTTCTCCTTGCCCCACAACAACTCAGCCAATGAGAAGCTGCCACAAGCCCAAACTCTCACTCTTCTCCAATAAAGTTTTGTTCAGTATCACCCATCCCATCATCCTCCCCTCCTCTATCAAAGCACGCTCCTCCTGTGTTCTCCAGACTTGCCTCTGGTTAACTATAGTTTGCTTGTCCCAGATGGCATTTCTTCTATTATACCCAAATAAACTCAATTTTCCTGGCTAAATCATTTACCTTTCTGTCTTCTTAAAATTTAGAAGGGGAAAAGCCAGATCACTTGCCCAATTGAAGAAATCAGTTGTTTTTATTTGGGAGACTTCAAATGCAGACGTCTGGAATTACCTAGTGATTGGCAATACTAATTCTATAAACTTTAAACATACATATTTATTAACAAACAATACTTACTGATACAAGCCTCTTTTTAGGGATATCTATGATAGTTGTTAAATTTTTTGAATTACCAGGTTAGCTCAGAGAGTTTTCAAAAGAACCAAAAAGAATCAATCTCATGGCATGACTGTATCAATAAAAATCTAGTTTAGTCCCCAAAGAAACAGAGGCTATATTAGACACCATTAATATTTTAATTATTAGCGGTTACTTCACCCATACCATTTCCAAGCAGGATTCCAGTTTTTTTCTACCTTTATTTTAATAACTACAAAGAAGGGAAAATGTTAAAGTAGAAAGTTCATAAATAAATAGAAAGTGCATAGGCTTCAGAATTTGCTAAATTTGGGAGTTCAAATCCTGGATTCACCACTAACTAGTAAAGTTCACCCTAATCTAATTAAATGGCCTCTCAAGGCTTTATGAATATGAATGATAACACATGGGTCAATGTCAATGACAGATTGATCATTCAATAAATTAGTTTTAATAGAATTTCCAAATAATATAACTTCCAAAGAAAGACCTTGCTTGTTGTAAAATCACTACCAAGAATTCAGTGTTTTTCAGTATAATTTCTGTTCACATATAAATATGTATGTATACATAATTTTTGTTGTATTATATTCAATACTAGAGGCCCGGTGCATGAAATCGTGCACATGTGCGGTCCCTAGGCCTGGCCGGCAATTGAAGCACAAGTGTCTGGCATGGAAAGGCAGGTCCCAGCTGACCTCTGGGCCCTGGGCAGCACCTGGACCCCCAAACCCCTGTGCACCCCCCTGCGCCTGAGTCACGGTGCCCAAGTCCTCATGCAGAGATGCAGTGAGCACAGCCAGACCCCACAGGCAGGGCCAGGGCACAGTATGGGCCTCTGGGCTGCCCAGCGGGGTCACAGGGAAGCTGGGTAGTTATGGTGCACTCTCCTGGCTGGCCTTGCAGAGCGGCTCCTGTGTGAACAGCATGGAAGCTCAGTGGGTAGGGTGCACTCTTCCGGCTGGCCTCGCAGACCGGCACCTGCATGAACCCATGGGGAGCCCGACCAGCCCCTGTGGTCCAAGCGGCTGTGGCCTGGCTCACCTGGAAGACACCGCTCGGGTGCAGGGTGGGCTCCTCGCGGGCACCCGGCACCTGAGCGTGGGGACTTCCCCAGCGTGTGAGCCCTGGTGTCCCCGGGTAGAGTAGCAGGGGGAGTGAGAGCCACTCGGCGGCCCCCAGTAGCTTGCGAGAGGTCACAGCCCCATGTCATAGCAAGTGGTCAAACTCCCAGTCTCCCAGTCGAATGACCACCCAAAGGGACAATTTGCATATTAGGCTTTTATTATATAGGATATAAGATAAATTATTAGATCTCTTTTGTTTTGCAAATAACCTATAGAAAAGATCAAACAATTCCCAGGAACTATAGGAAGAAAATCTCCACTTTAATACTAGGACAACAGGCAATTTAGAGAATAGTTCCCTTTATCCCACTAAAAGTGGTAAAAATATAAATTACCTCAAACCCCTCGCCCCCAATAATTCAATTTGCATTTCAACTAGTAGCTTGTAGCATCTGTATACACAAGCCAAATCTCATCCTTCTTCTAAACATTGAGCTATCTATGTTCTACACCTGGGAAAATAACAACAATATCAGATTTGGAGAAGAATAAACCACAGGATGAAACATTTGAAAATGAATCACTAACTATTAAACAAGTCTGGCAATGGAAGGACAATAGCAAAAAGTTACTTTCCATTAAAACTGAAAAACTATATTTTTAAAAATGTAGTTGGCTGTAATGAAACTATAATAAATTGCTAAAAAGAATCTTTTGGAGACTGAACATTTTTAAATGGTTGGTCTAACTCTGCTTTTCTTTTTGTGGAGTCAATGCTTCAACCATGGGATAAGAGAATCTAAAACAATTTACATTAGTGGGAAAATATAGCTGCAAGGAAGAAACAACAACATAATAAATCACAACATTTCTCTCAGAAGAAAATAAGTGTGTTGTTTTTAAAAACAAAAAACAAACAAAACAAAAAAAAAACCTGCTGTTAGGGCCAGGTACAGTCCAAATTTATTTCTGGAATTTCAGTGTTGCATAACTGAAGTATATTTCAATGGAGCTGAACATCAAGTTATATAATTATCAATTACCATATTCTATTTTGTTTGTTTGTTTTTTTAAGCAAAGAACAAGATAGGACTGGGGTGACAGTAAGAGAAGAAAATAATTTAAAGTAGCATATTTTTCTTATAGTTAAAAACAATTTTTATTTTAAAAATCATTTAGGTGAAAGGCCACAAATTTTCAATATTTTGTCCCAAGACTAAGCAATATAAAATGATCTTTAAAAACCTAAATTCTGCCTAGCTGGTGTTGCTCAGTGGTTGAGTGTCAACCCAGGAACCAAGAGGTTGTCAGATCAACAAGCTTGGATTGTGGGTTCAACTCCCAGTAGGGGCCAGGCAGGAGGCAGCCACTGGATGTTTCTCTCTCATCAATGTTTTGTGTCTCTATCACTCTCCCTTCCTCTCTCTCTAAAAATCAATGAAAACGTATTTAAAAATAATAATAAAAATAAAATAAAAACCTAAATCCTTTTTTAGTAATTTTTTCAAGGTATTTTTAGGTTTTTCTTTTGTTAGAAATTTAAACCTTACTCAACAGTCACTTAAGGTACTTTAAAAGATCATTAAAGAAAAATTATCAAATTTATATTCTTTCTTCCCATGGAGAATAGCACAAATGTTGAACATTCATTTTACAGAAAGTTTAAAAACAGTTATTCTCTTGTGTAGCAATAATCAGAAAATATATGGAATATATATTCCAGGCAACCAGCATCTGCATTTTTCATTTAAATTTAAAGCATCAGAGTATTAGTTGAATATTCCAAAGCTGTATTAGTAACCATAATAAGTGCTATTCATCTTAGAGCAAATGTATAATCTCTAAAACATGACTTTAATAGAAGAGTACAAGTGCTATCATTACAAGAGTAAACCAACCTGGGAAAAGCTAAGGGAAGAATTATAAATTAACTAAGTGGGATTTCCTATTTTCTTGTTCACAGGAAAAGTTTACAAATCAAAAGTTGCTTTACTTAAAGCTTTTTTAAAAAGCAACTAAATGAGATAAGAACTTCAAACTTTTTCTTGATGAATATAAGGGTGGGGCAAAAGTAGGTTTATAGTTAGTTATTCATATGGAAAATAATACAAGAACAAACTGTTTTGCGTTCTCACAACTGTAAACCTACTTTTGCCCCACCTTATATTTGAAAATCTTTGATTACACTGATAAAGTCAACAATATGCAGCGCACTGTTGATAAATAATACTACTATTATAGACTAAAATTAATAAAACTAAGACAACTAAGGCCACCTAGTAAAAGTTTCATTTAAAAGCTGTTTCTTATGAACTAAACCTGGAAACGGTGGTGATAATTACCATGACTCAGAGGAGCTGCCCCATCCCTGGGCTTTCCTTCTTCAGCTTGTTCCTAGAACACAGGAAATGTGGTTTAGACCATATTTTTGGATAACTGTTTGAAACACTGAAAACTAACTTTTCCGTTTGCAGGAAGCCAAGCCATGAAAAGCATTGTAATGAAGGGGACAATATATCAAAAGTCAGTGCCCTCCAGGTGGGTGTACCAACCCTAGGAAAGGCATACCACAATCCATTCAGACACAGGAGGAATCCTTTATTACTGTTACAGGGAGGAAAATTAATTTTTCCTCCTGCCCTTTAAGTTCTTCTGGCTGAACTAATAGTCAAATTAATATGAGACAGATTAATAGGAGAAAATGAGCAAATTTATTACGTATGTACATATGGGGGTTTCATAAAAATAGGAGCCCCAAGGACAGATAGGCCAGGGAAGGCTTATATGCCATCTTGAGCTAAGGAGAAAGGGGTACAGGGATTATGGTTTCAAAGGACAGGATGGCAATTCACAGGGAGGTGGAAAAGAAAATGTTTGGTAAATAGATATTTGCTGGACTGTCTTTAATAATAAACATAGAGAGGACTTTGTTCAAAGGGGCCTTGCTAGATTCCTCCCTATTACACCAGTTTATATTAAACTACTAGAGGCCAGGTGCATGAAAATTCATGAACTGGAGGGGTATCCCTCAGCCTGGCCTGCCCCCTCTCACAGTCCAGGAGTCCTAGGGGCGGGAGGTGACCCAGCGATCAGGGGAAGGCGACGCCCCCATCACCCCTCTGCTGCTGCCACTGCCAGCAGCACAAGCCTCGGCCAGCCCTGGTTACCTGCGCCTTGGATGGCCCTGGGTGGCTAGGCAGCCACCATCCAAGGCTTGCCTGTGCCTTGGGCCAGCCCTGGGCAGCTGGGGGGCTGAGGGGACTGGGGGACACAGGAGGCACATGCCCCAGCAGGGCTGAGGGGGACTGAGTGCCGCCATCTTGTGATTGTGGGTGCCACTATCTTTGAGGGCATGGCAGTCAATTAGCATATTCCCTCCTTATTGCCTGTGAGCACCGCCATCTTTGCAACAGCATGAGGGTCAATTAGCATATTCCCTCTTTATTAGATAGGATAGTTACCTATGAAAATAGCTCCCTTCCTGGAGCAGACCCTCTATCCAAATTTTGAGGACAGTTAAAGGGAAGATCAAAGGTTTTGCCTGAATCTTCTTGTTTCTTGAAAATAACCAGGTAAATTTTGGGGTGGAAAACTCTGTTACCTGACAGTTCACATTTACCAGAGCAACTCCCTAATGAGATCCCTGGATCTGATAGTCACACAAGAGGCAGCTGACAGGAGAGGGATGTCCCACACCAGAGCCAAGTCCTCCTTCCTTCCTTGATTTTAGCCTAGGCTCAGTTAAGAAAACATTCCCTAATTTTAGCCAAACTGACCTTCACAAATGGACAAATAACTTCAAAGATTTCTGGGAAGAAAATACAGACCAAACATGAAGGACAACAGAAGCAATCAATCAGAAGACAGCAGGCCTTCTCTCCATGGAGAAGCACTCGCCAGGCACACTCAGCAATCTAAAGGAAAGCTGATCATTTAGCAAAGACTGAGGGAATCACTTCTAGTCTGAAAGATGCAGCAGCAAAGAGCATGTGTTACTGGGTATCTGACAGGTGTTTTATTTACATAACTAGAGGCCCAGTTCATGATGCGTGCACCTGTGGGGTCCCTCAGCCTGGCCTTCGGGGATTGGGCTGAAACCAACATCCCCTGAGGGGTCCCGGATTGCAAGAGGGCACAGGCCAGGCTGAAGGACCCCACCGGTACACAGTTGGGGCTGGGGAGGAACCATGGGAGGGCTCCAGGGCATGTCCAGCCTGTCTCGCCCAACCTGATTGGCCAGACCCCAGCAGCAAGGTAACCTTCCGGTCGGAGTGTCTGCCCCCTGGTGGTCAGTGCGCATCACAGAGACTGGTCAAATGGTCGACCTATCAGTCGGACACTCAGCATATTAGGCTCTTATTATATCGGATTTTGTGGCCATAAACAATGTATGCCCCTTATAAAAATTCGTAATAATTGTACACTTCCAATTAGGGAACAGTTTCCCAATTTAAAAATCTTCCAAATGAAGGGTTTTGGTGGGCTTTGAACTCACTTTTGGAAGCATGAATATGTAATACTTTTCTTTAGTTTCCAGGAAAAACTAATTGTTAACAGAGAAGGTAAAAATTCAGCAGCTGAAATCTAAAAAATAAACCTTTGTATTATTGATGGCTGACATTGAAAAATGAGTGTCATGATTTAATAATTTTGGCCAATAATCATCTCTTCAGTTTATTCCTCTATCTTTGGGACATGTCTTTTTAAAAAAAAAAAAAACATTTTTTTATTGATTTCAGAGAGGAAGGGAGAGGGAGAGAGAGAGATAGAAACATCAATGATGAGGATAATCATTGATTGGCTGCCTCCTGCACACTCCTACTGGGCAAGTGCCCTTGACTGGAATCAAACCTGAGACCCTTCAGTCCGCAGGCCGACTGCTCTATCCACTGAGCCAAACCAGCTAAGGCTGGGACATGTCTTTTTAAACTATAACTAGGGTGGACTGACCTTCCCAGTTTGCTTAGAACTATCCTGATCACAATTCTGAAGTCCCATACCTAGGGACCCCTCAATTCTAGACAAACCAGGATGGTCAGTCATCTTAATTATGACACCCATTAAAACCAAACCTAAAAATAGTAACCTCTGATAATAGTAACACAAAGCTTTGAATCAGGTTTTTGAAAAAGAATCATGAATATTAATATTTTGGTTAGAGTAAACTGATTTTTAAATGTTGAAATAAGCCCTAGCTGGTTTGGCTCAATGGATAGAGCATTGGCCTGCAGACTAAAGGACAACAGGGTTCAGTTCTGGTCAAGAGCATATGTCCGGGTTGAGGGCTCGATCCCCAGTAGGGAGTATGCAGGAGGCAGTCAATCAATGATTCTCTCTCATCAGTGATGTTTCTCTCTCTCTCTCCCTCACCCTTCCTCTCTGAAATCAATAAAAATGTATTTTAAAAAATAAAAATAAATGTTGAAATAAGTACTATTAATTTCATTTTTATATTATGCTTTTTTAGTTTCTTTTTTAGTCTATGGCTTTAAGGTACAAAATGCAATTTGTTTAGTAGTATATTATATAATTTTCAAATAAGCAAAAAAACCACATATATCAAGATATGTGATTAAAGTTTCTTTACTGATAGGTAAAGCAAACCAACAAGTTTGAAACTGACTGCATCAGGCTGCCATGTGCCTATATAGCCACATATAACTGAGGTGCCTTAGCTTACTATCTTTCCATACATATAATTTTAGTTTTTGAGTTCATATGGTTAATGGTAAAAATGTATATAGAAACAAATAGTACAGTGAAAACTTGCCTACCTGTCCTCCCCCATCTGGCCAACTCATAATACCTCCACCCAGTAATCACTGTTATTAGATTCTAACATATCCTAGAGAAATTTTCTTTATGAAAATACAAATAAACATTAATATATATTCTTATTTTCTTGTTCTTTTGCACAGAAGGTATCACATCATAATACTGTTTCCTAGATCTCTTTTCACTTAGAATGCCTTAAAGATCATTATCCTGTTATAAAGAGCATTCTTTTTTTCATAGCTATACAGCATTATCCTGATTGGATATTTCATGATTTATTTATCTGGCTCCATATTTACAGATGCTCAGGTAGTTTCCTATCTTTTTTCCAGTCATAGAAAGCTGCAATGAGAAACTAGTACAGATGTCAGTGTGCATATGCGCAAGGATGTCTAGGGAGTGGTCTCTTAGAAGTGGAGACTTGCGTTGTCCTGCTGGTAAGTGCCATAAAGTCTAGCTCCACAAGAGCTGCTCCGGCGACAGTCCCATAAGCCTCAGATCAGGGCCTGTTTTCCCACTGCCTGGCCGAGAGGGGGTGTTATCAAATGTTTGGATTTTTGCCAAGATGACAAGTGAAAAATGATATCTCACTATAGTTTTAATTTGTACTTGTTTCACTAGGAGGAAGTTGAAGATCACTTTGTATATTTAAAAGCCATTTGTATTTCCCTTTCTGTGAAATAGCTCTTTATATGCTTGGTCCATTTTTCTGTTGGAATGATTATTCATCTTTTGCTCTTAATAAATCAGAAATATTATTATTTTCTCTACATTATGAGATGCATTATTTATTTTTTCCAGTTTGTCATTTCTCCGTTTCACTTACGTTATGGTATTTTTTAATATGCAGAGATTTTTTTGTTGTTTTTTAAGAAATGAAACTATAGAACCTCTCTTTTATGGCTTCTAGATTTGGGTAATAGTTAGAAAATCCTTCTCGATTCCCAGATAATAAACCTGCTTCGTTTATGTCTATTACATTTATAGCTTATTTCTTACATGTAAATCTTTGGTAAATCTAAATTTGTACTAGGGCGTGGTGTAAAGCCACAATATTTTTGCCCAGGTGACCATTCAGTTGTCCCAAGACCACTTACTGAATAGTCCTTCTCCTCCCCATCAGTCTAGATTTGTGGATTACACATTAAACTCCATGTGCATTTGCTCCTACTTCTGGCTTGTCTCTTCACTTGTTTAGTTCGTTTATTCCAGTACCAGTGCCTTTACTTCTGTGAGCCTCAGTTTCCTAATCTGTCTTGGAGATAATAATAACTTATTCACTGGATCATTTTAGATTTAGAGATCCACAGACATGGCACATGGCAGACTCTCGGCAGTAGCTATTACAGCTATTTTGCCAAATTCAAATTGCTAAGAATGTACACTGTCCTAATTATTTAGTCTGCCTACTTGTATTTACCGCCTGAAGAAACATATCTCAAATGAACAAAATCACTGATGAGAGAAGAATTCTGAGAGAAAAGTCAAGAAAAATCTTAAAATTCTAACTGAATTAATTACCTATTTTAAAACATTTGTTAAATGTTTTAATAGGCCAGGAACTGTGCTGGGTTTTAAGGGTGCACATAAAATTCAATTTCCAGTGTGTGTGCACTGAC